CCTCTCTCTCTCTCTCTCTCTCTCTCTCTCTCTCTCTCTGTGTCTCCATGCCTAAGAGAAAAAGACCATCGAAATAACCACAAGGAAAGTGTCTTTGTACTCTATTTCTCAGTTTTTGACTTCACCTCTCTTTCTCTCTACCCCCTCAAAAGAAAAGACCTCAGCATATTCTTTAATCCATCTCAGATTCTGTCCCACCTCTCTCTCTCTCTCTCTCTCTCTCTCAAGAAAAGACTACAGTAAATTATAAGAAAGAAGGTGGCTTCCTTTGTATTCTATATATGGGGACAGGTGAGAGGGTCTTCAGAGAGCAAACCAAAGGTGCAGAGTAGTGAATGAATCCTCCTTGCGTGTTCTGGCCGTCAACAGGCACATGGAATGGAGTAAAGAATGGAGAGTACCCACCACTCACAAGCAACTTCCTTCAGCTGCACACTTAACAATTGGAGTCACAGATCCCTATCCCCTATCCCCTTCCCAAGCCACTATGGACATTTATTCCCAGGTACTCTTGTATATTATGTCTCAGCCTTCAAAGCTGTGACAGTGTACAGATTCAGGTTACCAATGGCAGATATAGTATTGAGTTTTTGATAACTCAGCTTTCAACAAGAAGATGTTGTTGATGATTCTGCTAACCAAGTACAGCTTCTATACCTAGAGTTTAACCTCTAGGGATCAGTTTAAGTGTGCATGCTGTTGTTTTGAGGTGTTTTTACACAGTAAACTTTATGTAACCACTTTTTCTAATCACCAAGTATAACTCTTCAAGTAGCTCCAGTGTGTCTAAAGCTCTAACCCATGTAGTAAGATGTGCAATTCTAGACCCTGAGGACAAATGCAATTCTCTAGTAGAACATATAGAATGAGGAATCTAGATAAGCATATATGGAAGAGAGTTTTTTTATGCATATAGGAAACAAGAGAATTAAAGGATTCATGCAATCTACAGAGAAAAATAACAGGAGACATGTAAGATTCATATAACAAAATATATTACCACAGAGAGAGATTAGTGGTGCATGAAGAACACTGAGGGTTTGAGAAGCAAGATGAA